AAATGAAAAAGCACAAGCATCAGGAAGGCAAAAAAGGACCTCCAAGGTCAGAAAAGTACAAAACAGGGAAGGTCTAGCTAACGGCCCTGACGGGACTCTGAGCTGTACATTGTGTGCAGACTCTGGCCGCTGCATGGAACCAGCAGTGAGTAGAGACTGATGATTGAGTAATGAATACATAGATCCATCTCAATGCTTATTTATGGTCAGGTGGAGCCAAGAATTGCTCAAATAGCTTATTTTTTATTGATATCAAGTCGGTCCCCTTTTCAGCCTAAATTTCTTGAAACGTGTCTGCATTTTAAATTAAGGTTGTTAGGAGGCATTATTTTAAACCAAAGAATAAAGAGCATGGTAAACATTTGAGCACCTGGAAAATAAACCTTGGGATACTAAACCTTACAGGTTTATACACAGAATGGCAGGTAACTGTTTGCTGTTTTGTGCTGCTGATCTATATCCTTGGCCCTGTTTGCTGATTTAAAGAGGCTTCATTCTGCTGATATGCCATTTATATATTGTCAGACTTCTCAAAACATCCTTTATATGACTACTGGAAACTGCATTTCAGCATTACCTAATTTGCTCATAAATCTCTTGCCTTTTAATCAGCTAAGTGGCTATCTGCTGAATTTCCCTGATTTACTGATATCTTTTGAGGGTTGAGGATATGACCAGATACTAAATGATCCAGTGTGGATGAAATGGCACATCACCATAATTATGATAGGGAAGAGAATTGTGACCAGGCATACAGAATGCTTCATGGAGACAAATGTAGACAGCTTCTTTAAAGGGCAGCTTCCAGAGCTGCAGAGAAAATTAGCTGCATTAGCAAGCTAGTTTTTGCACAAAAATCTTCCCAGAAGCTCTCATGAGAGAACTGGATTAGCTGGCTCAGCAGTTCCTCAGAACTATGACCTTTGCTGAATTCACAGAGCTGGGACTGCATCCTGGCTAAACTAACAGGTGAAACCTTGAATGCTATTGTCACCTTAGCTATCATCGGTGCTGCAGTTGAAAAAGACTCACATCAATTGTTAATCCAGACCAATCCCTGATGAAGATATTCTTTAATTACAGTCTTTGTAATACACTGCTTAAAAATAAAGCATGCTAGCAGGACAGTGTGGAAGGGTTATAAAATGAGATTGTCACTTGGATTTTTACAATCATTAAAGCGCCACCTGCTGGCCACTGAAATACAGTACTGATTAATTTGATGAGCAGCTAGCTGGTATTAGAAAGATGAACATTAACAGAGCCAAGGGCAAAAATCAGATGACCATCTCAATAGATGGAGAGAACTCTTTTGAGAAAGCCCAGCACCCATTCATGATAAAAACCCTAAAATAGTTGGAATAGATGGTCTTTATCTCAATCTGATAAAAGCTATCTATGACAAACCAACAGCTAACATAATATTAAGTGGACAAAAACTGAAAGTTTTCATGCAAAAATCAGGAACATGACAAGAAAGGATGTCCACTGTCTCTACTTCTATTCAACATAGCCCTGAAAACTTTAACCGCAGCAATTAGACAAGAGAAAGAAATAAAAGGATTAAGGATAGGAAAGGAAGTTAAACTATCATTATATGCAGATGACATGATACTCTACTTAGAAGACCCCAAAAACTACACCAAAAAACTTCTAGATTTAATAGGCAAATTCAGAATGTATCTGGTTGCAAAGTAAACACTCAAAAATCAATAGCCTTCCTGTACATGAATAACAAACTTACTGAGAGAGAAATCAGGAGAACAATGCATTTTACAATAGCATCCAAAAAAATGAAATACCTAGGAATCAATCTAACAAAGGATGTAGAAGACCCCTACACTGAAAACTACAGCACTCTGAAAAGGAGAATTGAGAGATGTCCCATGCTCTTGGTAGGAAGAACCTATAGAGGGGAAATGGGCATACTTCCAAAACTGTTACACAGATTCAGTTCAATCCCAAGCAAAATTCCAATAGCCTATCATACGGAATTAGAGAAAACAATCCAAAAATTCATCTGGAAACAGAAGAGACCTAAACTAGAAAAGGAAATGCTGGGCAACAAAGGCCATACTACAAAGGCAAGACATCACAATCCCTGACTTGAAATTATACTATAAAGCCATCGTGGTAAAACAGTGTGGTACTGGCCAAAAAAAAAAAAAAAAAAGACCCAAAAATCAGTGGAACAGATTAGAAGGTACAGAAACAAGCCACCTTATCTTTGACAAAAATGTCAAACACATTCACAGGAAGAAAAGTAGCCTCTTTAATAAATGGTACTGGAAAAACTTCCTCTACACATGCTGAAGATTAAGACTGGACCCATATCTTTCATCTTGTATTAAGCTAAAATCAGAATGGATCAAAGATCTCAATATTAAAACAGAAACATTAAATCTTTTGGAAGATAGAGTAGGTAAAACTCTTAAAGATTCTAGTGTAGGCAAAGACTTTACGGGAAAAAAGAACTCAATTGCACAGGAACTATCAGAAAGAATCAACAACTGGCATCTCATTCTACTGAAAAGCTTTTACACAGCAAGAGAAAGCACCAGCAGAATGAAGAGACAACCCACGATGTGGGAGAAAATATGTTCCAGCTGTTTCTCAGACAAAGCGTTACTATCACGAGCATATAAAGAACTCAAATCAGTCCTCCCAGATTTAAAGACTCAATCCAAAAATGGGCATCTGAGATGAATACACACTTCTCAGATGAAGAAATACAAACCGAAAATAAATATGTGGAAAAATTTTCAACATCTCTGATCATTTGAGATATGTAAATTAACACAGAGATTCTACCTCACCCCAGAAAGAATGGCTACTATCAAGAAGTCAACCAGTAACAAATGCTAGAGGGGTTGTGAGGAACAAGGAGCCTTCTTCACTGTTGTGAATGCAGACAGGTGCACCCACTGCTGAAATCATTGTGGAGATTTCTCAGAAACCTAAGATTGGAGGTCCTATTCAACCCAGCTATTTCCCTTCTGGATATCTTTCCAAAAGAATAAAAAACATGCGCCGGGGGCTGGGGATTTAGCTCAGTGGCATAAGCATCTGTCTGGCAAGTGTAAGGTCATGAGTTTGATCCCTGGTACCAAAAAAAAAAAAAAAAAAAAATCATACCACAGTAATATATGCGCACCCATGTTTATAGCAACACAATTTGTAATAGACAGACCTTGGAAACAACCTAAATGCTCACTGACCATGGAATGGATTTTTTATCACATCTTTTTTAGATGTGATATTTTTATGCAATGGTGTACTACTCAGCCATAAAGAAGGATAAATTGGAGACTTTTATAGGTAAAATGGATGCAACTTGAGAATACACTAATTAGTGAAATAAGTGAGACACACGTGTAAACACTGTATTGCTTCATTAGTGTGAGAAGTTGAAACAATATGTATATGTGTATGTATATGTATATAAAAGATATAGTTGAGTTAATAATTGTACTGCTGATTTCTCTTGCGTTCACTAAAGACAAAGATTTGTACTGATACTGTTTGGACCATTGAATGCAGGTGTTTTGGGCTCTGGGTGAATGATTTGGGGATGACAATGTACAATGTATGTATCATTGTTGCCCCCCCAAAATGAGATGCTTTGAAATTTTGTTTTTATTCTTTTTCTTTTTTTTTTTTAATTTTTAGCCTTGAAATAAAATGAATTTGGAAAAAAAAGATGAGAAATGTTAACCACCTATCTGTGAAAGGGAACTTAATTTCAAAATGAAAATGTTAAGAATGGCCATGGCATTCTTAGCCCCGTCCTCTCATGGTGCTTCTGCAGTCCAGTTGTACAATCTATCACATTTACACAGCACCAGGGAACAATTTAGCAACTAAAATTAGGGCTTTAATGGCATAAGTATGTACAAAAAATGTTGAAAAATCAGTATTAAGAATTTGTTGTGCTTTAAAAGCTTGTGTGTGTTCTTGGTTTTAGCCTCAGGATTAGCATGTATTTAAACAGATGATTTCCTACCTTAATACATTTTATAACGAAATATTGAGAGATTATTTTAAAAAGCAGTGGATTATCATCAAATATATTTGTGCTTTAAAATGTCATAGTAACTTAAACACACTTTGCTCTGCGTAATAAGGCAATTTATATTTTATCAACAGTCCCCCAGAGAGTATAATTTGAAGAAGTTGAACCTGCATTGTCCCACACAGCAGTCACCAGCTACCTGTGACTGCCAGGTACGTGAAATGTGGCTAGTGGCACGCACAGAAAGGATGGTATTTTGAGTATCTTGAATTACTTAAACCTTAGGTATAAGTCAACAGTTTGAAAACGTAATTTTTTCAAAGCAGTGTACACAGGATGGTTAAACCCAGCCCTCACACCCTCAGTTAAATCAGGATGCACAGCCTTGCCGTACTATTATTTAGCAGTTGACTGTCTTCATAGCATTGGTTCTCTGGGACACTGACTCCCGAGTTCCGCTGAGGGTATCCAGGCGGAACGCTTTCCCATCTGAGGATGAGGGGCAGGTGGGGAAGACAAGGTTTAAAAGAACCAAGCAGGGTAACATAACTTTCTATCTACATGTATCCACATGGAAGGTCTTACTTTAGTTCAATCTCACCTTCGACGCTCTCAACTGGAGAGAAAGGCAGTGACAGGACTCAAAGGCTAAAAAGATGAAACAAGGACACTGCTGACCGACAGGAGCCCAGCAGTGCTGAGATGGGCTGGCAAACCATGAGCATTCAGCGAGGCGCTGCCAGGAAGCTGTAAGCAGGGCCACGAAGGCCGGTAGGACTGCGCACCCCAGCTGGGACAGGAAGGCTGCCCGCAAGGGAGCACATTTGAACCTGAGCTTCTCTGCATCCCCCAGTTTCCATGCCGACACAAGGCATCTTAAGAAATAAGCAGTGTTCTAGCAAACTGAGTCTTCTCCAAAAAGCCAAATGTTTTGATAGAACCATTTGTACTCTGACACTGTTAGGGGTAGAGAGCGAAAACACACATCAATAGTAAAACCACTTTTAATAGGTTGCAGGGAATGAAAAGTTATTGCACTGAAAAAAGTAATTTAAAAAATCCATTGTGGTCACTGAGAGTTAGAAAATATTCATTGCTACAAATGATCTTTAAGCTCTGAATTTCATTAATCTTGGCGTACTCGCAATTTTGTCTACCTCATCTCATGGGAAACATGATTTGAAAGTTGGTTATGAAGAAATCTTGAAGACGAAGTGTGATTTAAAAATTTTGGCAAATGTTTCTGGGTGTGACAACACATACCTGTAAGCTTAGCACTCAAGAAGCTGAGGCAGGAGAATCACTGGGAATTTGAGGCAGCCCCGGGCTACATACTGAACTCAAGGCTAGCCTGAAGTACATCACAAAACCCTGTCTCCAAAAAAAAGTGAATGTTTAAATTTTTAAGATTTATTAAAAAAGACACATTGCTATTAGTACCCCCCACACTCCGCCTTACTTCAAATACGATTCTCTTAGTGTTCTTGCCACTTTCTGAAACAGCGTCTTCTCTGCTGAGTGTCTTCAGCTGAGCTGTCATGGCCGCCTTGATGTCCTGAATCAACTCAAAGCATTTACCTTTAATGATCATTTTGACTTTCGGGAAGAGCCAGAGCTTGCATGGTGGCAGACTTGGTAAATAAGGTGAAGGAGGACGTATCATTATGATGGAGTTTTTGCAGGGGGGAAGGGGTTTACTGGGGATCAAACTCACGTCCTTGCACTTGCTGTGCAGGTGCCTGGACTGCTGAACTAAATCTCTGGCCCTTCTACAAGTCCATACATTTTCACGGGATGGCACTTGGCAGCACCAGTGACTGCTGTTTTTAATCACACCCCACAAAGACATTCACAAAACCTGACTTCCAGAACTGCTTCAGAAAGTGGCCAGAACAGTAAGTGTGCTTGAAAAAGAGGGAGTATTTTGGGGAGATTAATAATGGCAATGTGTCTCTTACTATAAATTTAACTGAAACCATATATTTTGATCATCCCTTGCACCTCAAGTCATTTTTTTTTTCAAGACATTTAATATCCACAGGAACTGGTTGATGTAAAACACACAGTGACTGCATTTCCATGAATGCAAAGTCCTTTGATCACATGATCACAAACAATTTATCATATTTTTACAAAAATTTGCATACAAAGTTGAGCTTTCCGAAATGGCATACTGGTGGTTAATACTATTCTGATGCTACACATTAACACTGTGTTGGGGAAATACCGTGGCATTACACACATCAGACACGAAGCAGCGTCATGTCCTCTTTTGAACAGCTGGGGACTTGTGCTGTGGGGCAACTCTTCTCTGAGAAATTGTTAATTTGGGGTTTTGGTTTCTTTTTACCAGTTCTAGCAGAAAAGCTTTCTTCGTGATGTGATGATCTGTAGTAAGACTTAATTTTCTGAGCTGAAAATTAATAAAGCTGGGAGTCATGAGAACTTTGTAAAGAGGACGGCGTCCACACGGGTGCCCAGGTCTGCGGGAATCTTGGGGGAGTGGGTGCGGGACTGAAAACGTGGAGGAGTCAGAGCTGAGGGCAGAGTGTACTCTGTACTTGGAACGTAGACTGAATGTGGCTGGTGGGGAGCAGACAGTGATGGAGGAAAACTAGCTTTAAAAAGAGAAGAGCAAAGAGGAAGAGAAGAGGTGAGACAAGGAAAAGAAGAGAAAAGGATTGGGAGAGGGTTCCTAGGCGACATCGCTCCCGTTCAGCATTCCCACAGGAGCCATTCTTCCATCCCAAGACTTCTCAAGGCCTGCTCCCATCCTCCCTGCCGTATGCCGTGACCAGGCCTCACCATTACTGAAGGCCACAAGGCCTGTGGACAATGACTGCGTTGGCTGGGACAAAAACTCAAAGCTCACAACAGTGGAAATGTTCTCCAGCACCGCACCGGTCTGTCCCCACTCCTGAGCACCTGGCACACCCTGGACAGCCAGCTCTCAGGCCTGCCTCCTGGGGAGCTCCCCACCCTGCTTTCTCCTGCGTGCCTCTGCAGGAGCCCCCAGCATGGAGCCTCTGCAGCATACAGAAACGCGATCCTTGCCTCAGGTCCTGCTTTATTTTGGTATTTCTACTTCGGGTACATTGTTCGATGTTCCTTTTGGATGCGTACGCTGCTGCAGTGTCTGCTCCAACTCCACGCTTCGGCCTTGGCAGCTGCCCTTCCCCGGAGGTACCGCGGCATGTGCCAGCTCCCCAGCTACAGGGCGGCAGACTGGGCCTCCGGGAAGCCGCTCTCCTCAAGCTTCAGTCCCAGGTTGTCGATGCCAATGGTGGTCACCGGGGGCACGCTGCTGCTTTCTCCTGGCTCTGCTGTGCGTGTCGGGGTGGAGCAGTACAAGACAAACCCCATCATGATGATGGTGAAGGACAGGATGTAGAGTACTGAAAACTGGAAGGAGAGAGAAACAGGTAATGCAATGAAAGCCCTCATGTACACACCTGTGTTGCTGCCATTTGCCAAGTGTGCTCAGAGAACGACCTTATAATCTATCCTCTGAAAGTTGGCTAAGAAGAATCCAATGCTCTAAACTCTTCTGTGCTACACTAGCAGATGTTACACTAGTGAACACATGGGCTCTCACAATAGCCCTGCTGCATCAGCTTGCAGGGTCCTTGGATCTTTAGGAGAACTGCAACCTTTGCAGGTCTGTGATAATAAGCAACTGCACCCCATCCCACGAGCCATCCCACCAGGTGAGGAAAATAAAAAGTCAGCGTGCAATTCCATGAGACAACCTATTTAGGGACCTAGACACAGCTTATAGTATTTTCATAAAACAGAGGAATACAAGGCCAAGATCAAATGTGGATGTATAGATGTGAGATCTGCTAAATAACCTCTCAATAAACATACTTGGATTAAGTTTCATATTATGACCAACAAAAAGTTTCATAACAGAATTACAGAGTAAAACAATAACAGAATGAGGTGGTGATGGGAAAGAGAAAGATTAAAAAGAAAAAAAAGGGGGGGCTGGGGATTTAGCTCAGTGGCATAAGCGCCTGCCTTGCAAGCAGGCAGTCGTGAGTTCGATCGCCGGTACCGATAAAAAGGAAAAAGACAAAAAAAAAAAAAAAAAAAATGAAGTAAGATACTGTTTGAAAGGTAGAAAAACTGTGGTCTGTGAAATGAATATTTAAATTTCTGGTAATATTCATCCATGAACCAGAGTCTGTGGAATACCATCGGGTGTGATGTTAATTACTACTGGCTTTGATGCTTGTACTTTGTACTTAGCATGATACTTAGCTATGAACCAGACAGCTGATATATAATAAATGTTTATAGGCAAAAATAAGACTCAACAAGTAATAGGGGAAGAATAAAGCTATTTAAGGTACCAAACATTTCTTTTTCAACTGGGATTTCACTATATTGTCCAAGCTGATCCTAAACTCTTAGACTCAAGAGATCCTCCTGTGTCAGCCTCCTGAGGAGCTGAAACTATAAATGTGCTCCACTGCATCCAGCTTACTAAATTTTAAAGTCACTATCACAAAAGTATGATGATCTTTTATGAGATATCTAGATACCTGCAGGAATCCTATAACTTCTTTGAAACGTGCCCTGTTTGTTTTGGTAATCTATAGCTGTTCAGAAGAAACAGTGTTGTGTCACTCTAACAGTGCCAACAATGGAACGGTGCCCTTTAGTAGAACAGAGATTCTGAGGAGCGAGATCATTCTGAGGAACGAGAGATTCTAAATGCCTTTTTCTTTTTAAAATTCTATCCTTGGTTTTTGGATCTATACAGGAAGTTTCTAGTGGCCACTTTATTCAGAAAGTATTTTCTTAACATCAATGCCTAGGAGTAAAAGTGCTCAAGGTCTGAAACAGAGAAAAACATTAAAAAACTGGAGACTTGCTTCCAACTGTTTACTCCAAAAACATCACAGCCAAAGTTATTTTTGTCACTACAATGTATTACATTGGTAGTATCTTTGAAAACAACATCTAAAATCTTAACTGTCAGCCAGGTGTGGTGGCACATGCCTGTAAGCCCAGCACTCAGGAGGCTGAGGCAGGAAGATGGCTGTGAGTTCAAGGCCAGCCTGAACTGAACTGCATCGTGAGACCCTGTCTCAAAAGACAAAAATAAATAAATAAATAAATAAACAAACAAACAAACATGTTTTCATTATGTCCTGAATTTTGTCTACCTCTGTACCTTATTCTTAGGATCACAGTACAGCTGATCTTTGTCCTACAAGTTTTGAAACAGCCTCTTACAAAAAAAAAAAACAAGACCCAACTTAAGAGGACACTGCTAAACATGCAGGGACTAAGGACTGTAAAACAAATACACCGGAAAGGAATTTACAGATTACATGCTCCTGTTAAGTCATGTGCCCCCAAATGATATTCATACTAAGGTTAAGAGCAGCTGAAGATCAAACATTTAAGATGTTAATCTAACAGCTACTAGTCTCCTAGAATCACAGGGTAGAAACACCAGCACCACTAGGTGGTCCCGTGAAATGCAGCCACACCACCGTGAAGCAACTCACTTCCCTTAGACTGATGGAGCCCCGGTCCACTCAGATGGGGGAAGGTGGGGTCAAGGGCACTTCTCAGACTCACTTGACATTTCTTACTTTTTGTGATACAACCAATAAAGACTTATTCAGTCTTAGTTCAGGAATATCTTAACTACCAACTCTGCAAAGATAACAGCTAGTTCCTGTTCTGTGTAAGCTTACAAGGCAAAGATTTATGCTCCACAAGCAGCAATTTCTGAGAAGCCAGGGAGATTTATGTATCAATAATTCAGATAAGCACTGTGACTTCATGGCTGGTTCCTAGGAAGAGTATAAATCAGCACCAAGGACTCCTGTTTGGATACAAAACTTCACAAGGACAAAGAAACGTAGTTGCTAGTCCCTGCTGAAACTAAAATTATCAAATAATAACACTGTAATTGTTTGCTCAAAAGGTAATGGAGAAAGATAGCAAACAGGTCAACAGGTCTCTCCTGCAGGTACTAAGAAAGATGAACTTTTTGGGTTGCTTTATTTTGTTTGAGTAGGGATCTGGCCACATAGTGCCGGTTGGTCTTGAACTTGGTTCAGTACTATCCTCCTGTCTCGCGGAGTACAGTATTACAGGCATGCATCACCATGCCCAGCAAACACACACTTCTGGGGCAGTGATTCTGAGTGGTCCAAAGACCCATAGGGAGACCCGGGACCACTGAGGGGAATCTCTAAGGTTAAAACCATGTTTATAGTAAATATTGAGGTGCTATTAGCCTTTTTATTTTCATTGTCTTACAGAAGCACAGTGGAATGTTCCAGGGGGCTACATTATTACAGGCAGGCTCAAGAATCAGATGTGAGATTTCAGCTATTTTCCATTAAACCACACTAAATGTAAAAATCGCTTTCACTCTTTGGATAATATCCTTTCCTTATAATAACATTTGTTAACATGAGTCTATTATTTTCTTAATAAGTTAATAAATGAGTATTTTTAAATTTCTGTTTTAATTTCTAATATGATACTTAGGTATAAGTAAATGTGCCCTCAATTTTTAAACATTTCAAAAGGCCCCAAGATTGAAAAGTATGGGAACCTCTACCTTAGAAGCTCTTAAACTGGCTATGATGGTTAATACTCTGAAACCTGGATGTGGAGCCACAGACCTGAAATCCCAACATTCAGAAGGCTGAGGCAGGAAGATCTCAAATTGAAGATCACCTGTGCTATACATAAAGTTCAAGACTACTCTTGAGCTATACAGTGAGATCCTGTCTCAAAAATCAAACAACCAATCTGTTTATTTGGTTCTCTCTGATCAATGAGACAACACGCTGAACCAATGAGTTCAACATTCTCATTTTAATAATGAAAATGGAGTGAGGGGCTGTGCAGGGGCAAGAGGGTGGACTCGACAGAAGATGGAAATAGTAAGTGACATCTGATCTTGACTTCACCACTCACAAGCTGCTGACTAAGGGCAAATCAAATAACCTCTCTGGGCCTTCATTTCTTTATCCCTGAGACGGCTCAGTCAGCAACTCTCAGGGGAAGGCAGTTGGTTTAGGGATGCGCTTTCCACACTCCACATCCATCCTCTGCTTCTGCTCAAGGCGCTGGTCTGTCCCTGCCCCGTCCCGTGATGAGAATTAGTACATGAAACAGATCTGTTACTGTGGGGATGCATCATGCTTGTGAGTGTTGTGAGAGGAGAAGACGAAAAAGTCTGAAAATGCCCTGAGCTGAAGAACCTTTAAAGTCTAGATGAAAATCCAATCATGCATGCATATTATACCTATCTCTCCTGCTTTCCATTAGGGCCTCCGGACTTAAGGTCTGGAGATGTGCAGAGAGTGAATAAGCCGCTCAGAAGGCCCTGCCTAAGACTGCTCTGAAGGTCAGCAGCAGCCTGGGATTGTCACCTGGCAACAAGAAGTGTTTCTGAAAACCAGTCCCTGGCTAGGTCAGCAAAGATGAAATCCACTGTATTTCACCCTTTAGAAAAACTCTAAGTGGGCAATTTTTATTTGGACCAATTTTCTAACTTTGAAGCAATAAAAAAGAAGTGAATCCTGTCCAATGAAATTCTTGCTAAGAGGATGAGTAGGTTTTACTTTTGGATCTAGTCTTAAGAATCCTATTTGGGCATGGAGATGCACACCTATATTCTTAGCATCTGGAAGGCTGATGCAGGAGGATCCACTAAGAGTTTAAGGACAGCTTGAGAGAAATCCTGTGTCAAGAAAGAGAGAAGGCCAGGCATTTAGTTCAGTAGCATAAGCGTCTGCCTGGCAAGCACTAGGCCATGAGTTCGATCCTCAGTACCAAAAAAGTAAAAAAAGAGAGAAAATGCAAGGGAGAGACAAGGGAAGAGGGTGAACAAAAGGAAGGTAAGCTGCTCAAAGAAACTTCTTTTAGTCCAGGCAAGCATTCTCTCTTGGACATGAGCTATTTTCTTACCTTATAGCCAAACAGAAAGAGTCCAAAGAAAAGGCTGTAGAGGTCAGCGGTCAGGATGCCCAGGTTGACAGAAGTCGCACTGGTGACCTTAATCACCAGTGGCATGAAGCTGTACAGGCAAAACATACAGAGGGCAAAGGCCAACAACAGCAGGGCTGCAGGGAAGAAATCAGAAGACAAGAAAGAGTCAGTTTAAAGAGATGGCTTAACCAACTACCTATAAAACATCTCCTTAACAGTCAGCATTGCAAATGAACCTGTGAGACTACAAAGAGGCACTGCAAGACAGTCATACAGCAAGCTGTGATACAGTCGAAGGCTCTCTAAGATTCAATAGGGTAAATAATGATGTGAAATCTTTTGGGGGGGGTTGCAAAATGAGGGATTGAACCAGGGCCTGAACTGAGCTACATCCTCAATGCGTTTTATTTTTTTATTTTCAAGCAGGATTTTGCCTAATCACTAAATTGTCCATTCAGGTTGAGCTCAAACTTGGAGTCTCCAGTCTCTATCTGCTAGAGTGCTGGGATTATAAGAATGTGCCCCGTGAGTTTGATCCCTGGTACTGATAAAAAGGAAAAAGACAAAAAAAAAAAAAAAAAGAATGTGCCCCACACCCAGCAAAGGCCATCAAACTGTACCCTTAGTGTGAGTAAGTCAAGAGCTTTCATCCCCTGTGCTATCTGTGATATTTTATCATGAAATATCACATGAAAGCACACTCACTATCACGAATATCATGAATAAGAAAAACCACTCGTGACCTTTTGTTTGCTTTTCTTTGGTCTGGTTAGATACAGTTTGTATAATTAGATTCAGAATGGAGTATTTTTAGGACATCAAAAGGACATATTAGATCCACCTATATTTTGTTCATTGCATTACATTAAATGCTCCAAGACAGCACAGTGTAACTCTCCTCTTTTGGGAAGTGCTGGTTATGGATGCTGGTGACAAAGGAATGTGTCTATTCTGAAACTGCTTTTAATTTCATTCCAGACTCAATCTAAATTATTTAACTGAATTAACTTAGCCAAGCATGCATGATATATAATCTTCGATGGCATTTATGTTCTGTTTAACCTCTTTCTGCCCCTGATTAAACAAGGCTCAAATCTGTGCTAGCTGACCTCGTACTCACTTTCTCCTGCTTTCTTTCTGTAGATGACTATGAACATCAAATGAAAGAGCAACGAGAGGTGGTCGGTGACTTCAGAACCATCAGGTGCTTCGGTTAATGTTTCACAAATTTCTTCACAAATTTGAGGACCTGAGATCCAGATCTAATTGACAGCTGGTCAGTCTTCAGAATTCCTCGTAAAGAAAAACTGCCAGGCGTGGTGACAGTGACACAAGCCTATAACCTCAACTCTTTGGGAGACTGTGGCAAGAAGAGCAAAAGTTCAAGGTCGGCCTGAGAAACTTGAGACCTTGCCTCAAAATAAAGTGAAAAGGGTCTGAGGATGTAGCTCAGTGCTTGAGTATTTTCCTAGCATATGTGAGGCCTTCTGTTCAATCCCCAGCAAAGAAAAAGAAAAGGATAATCCTGTAAGTAAAGATTGAGAATTAATTTTAATGGAAGTTCACCTACCAACTCTCAGAGAAAACTCTATATAAACCATTACTGGTGTGACTTTACCTCGACACATCAGTATTATCAAAAGAAAGCATTTGTTTCTTTATGTGCATTTCCGTTACTTAGAATCCTGCTGGGCATGCTCGGGCAGGCCTGTAATCCCAGCACTAGAGAGGCTGAGGCAGAAGTACAGTGGCAAATCTAAGGCCAACTTGGGCTACGTAGTGAGTTCAAGGCCAGCCTGAATGACATAGGGAGGAGAACCTGTCCCCTCAAATCCCCCCTAAAAAGACAAAATTCAAAAATAAGCAAGCAAACAAAAAAAGACACAATACTTAAAAATACAGATCATTTATTTACATACCAATTTTCCAGTTCCAATGAATGCTGGCCACATCCTTATGTTCCACAATCAATCTAAGATTAAAATAAGAAGTCACACTTCTTAAAGATCCACTTAGGAAGTTTTATTACTTTATTAATAGTTTAGTTGCAATATTTTAGCTAAGATAAAGAATTATTATGACTTCTGAGTTTTTCTTAGACTACAAAAATAATTATGTTTTTAAAAAGTTAAAGAAAAAAACGAAGGAGTCAATAAAGATGCATCTCACTGTAATTGGTTCATAGGTGTTCCTCTATAGTAGGAAAACACGACATAATGATTTCCCTTGAATAAGTTGAGGAAGTTAATGTGTTAATATTTTCTGGAAATAATTTAAAAATAAAAGCCCTTACCAATAGTGATACCTACCACACTACAGTCAGAAATTCTAAACATGACACATGTATAAGAAAATAAGGCATAATTTTTGATGTTTTAACAATCCTCTTAGCAGATTATTAACAAGTTACTGCCCTCAAATATGAATCTGGACTAAACAAAGACTATTAATAGTTAGAAACTAATCATTTATGACGATTTGCTTATTTTATTTAAAAAAAAATTTTAAATCTTACAGCTGTATGCCACTGATAATTGTTCCAAATAAACCCAGCATTCCTAAAAATTCCAGTCTGCTCAGGTTCTTCACAATGTATTCTTCAGATACGTTGGAAACAGAATAGAGGGATGCCCCAAGCAGGACCAAGATATCACCAATCAGCACATCACTCCCTACAGGCAGACAGAGCACACAATGGGATACACAGTCAGTAAGTAAACCAGGAGTTTATGTGACTCCTCTTCACTTAGGTAAGATTTTCTTAAAAAAAAAAAAAAGATTCTCTTTAATACTGATTTCTATGCGTTCAAATTCTCTTATTCTTTTTACTGTCTGACACAATTTTCACCACAGAGCAAATTTTTCACATTTCAGTGCCTCAGGAGACTCATGAAATAGAGGATGGTACAACATAACGATGACATAAGGCCTCAAAAAATAATTCTTTGGTTGGCAAATTCATGAGATTTGCTGAAAACTAAAGGAAAGGAAGCTTGTAAGTCAGGTAATTTACTGTCACAGTCCAAGGAGATACTAGCATCTCTTATAGATTGGATGAATTCAAACCTTTACCTAGATTTACAAAGTGATCACCAGTGAACATCAAATCTCCTTTTTTGATACCCCCCCATCTAGTTTTCCAGTAACTAATCCAAAATGTTTGAACTAAAAGATTATTTCAGACACACAATTATTCCAGAAATGTCTCAGCTGGGTGCTGTGGTACACACCAGCACTTTGGAAGGCTGAGGTGTTAGGACTGCAAACTCGAGACCTGCCTGGACAACTCAGTGAGATCGTGTCTCAAAGTCAAAAATATGGAGGTCTGGGGACAAGGTTCAGTGCGAAGGTTCTGAGTTCAGTCTTCTGAATTGACATAAAACTTGTGATTGAACTCCGTGATTTCAATCAGGAAGTGGGGGGGGCACACACGGGCAGACAGGACACAGGCTCCTCTGTCGTGAGACAAATGGAACGATTTAGTGTAACCAAAAAGCAGTAAAGTACGGTTCGTGGGCCAGTAGGAACATAAAAATGATAGTATTTGGAAACTGTTAAAAAACACTAGAAAGAAGTCTGATTGAAAAACAAAATCATTGAAAATGTAGTTATCCAGACTGTATTTTCTGCATTTTACTGTGTCTTTGGAAAACTAAAAGTGAAAAGTTGAGCAAAACTTTTCTGTGACCAGATCACCAACAAGGCACACAGACATCTCACCTGAACCGTCCTTCCTCCCTGCTAGTATGTCTGCACCAACCATGGTTCCTACGCCCAACAGACACACAAACACGGCCACGAAGTGGATCACCCTGTATCTTGCGTGAAGAATAAACCATGAGAGAGCCATCAACACGGGAATCCCAAAGCAATCCAAAAGCTGCAAACGAAAAACAACTTTATATGTCTCTCATTAGCCAAAACATGAGTAATTAAATACTAATAGGAAGTAGTACGATGGTTTATTATGCCAGCCCTGTACTAAGAGGTTTTTTTAAGAGTTTTACTTAGATTAATTCACTTAAACGTCACAGTAACTCTTTGGGGCTGGAATTACAATCCCACTTTATACTGAGAAAATAAAGGTACAGAGAGGCAAAGTAAGTCATCCAAAATCACATCAGCTGCTTTGAAATTCACCACATTGGGCCCGTGGATGCATTTTGACAGGAAGAATTATAGCACTCGACGTTTGGTTCTCAGCGCACAAGACAGAACGTGGCAGTGCAGACAGCCTGGTGTGCCACTGCTCTCCAGCCAAAACTACTTGTATGGCAGGTGTCTTCTTCGGTACACGGCATGCCTCTCAGAACCAACTGAGGGCAAGTCCAGAGGTAAAGAGCATTCCTGAACCTCAGAATCCTATTGCAGGGCCTGCGCTGCTTTCCCTATGCTCCCACTCACGTTATCCTTAAACGTAGGTGGCAAGCCTTCCTCCCTGCATGCATTCTTTTATTCAGTCAACAGATACTTATTAAGCACCTCACATGTGCAAGAGAAGCCAGGGACACAGACGAAGAAGACAGCTACAAGCTCTGTCTTCAGGCTCACATACAAGGCTAGATGGGCGCGGAATAAATAATCGGAAAGAGAGATGTTTAACTGTATTTAAGCTAAGTGCCATAAAGAAGTACAGGTTACCATGGGAGAGCAAAACATCCCTGACGGAGTGTAAAATCCCCGGGAGATGGAAGTATGCCCATGGATGCGCTCCTGCTCATCTGCATCCCCTGCCCCTGCTGCACCCACTGATCCTGGGTCCAGAAAACCACACTCCTGACATTGCCCATCTGCAAGCGTGCGGGATTAATGGGGCCAAAACCACTTGCAAGATAAAGGAAAACAGATTTCACTTGCTCAATTCTTAATGTCACAAATTTTATGTGACTTCAAGGATGATTCTTGATGCATCTAAGTATATTCAAGAATAAAGCCAGGCACCGTGGCACACACCTATCATCCCAGAACACATGGGGCTGAGGCTGAGGGACTGTGAGTTCAAGTCTACCCAGGGCTACAGAGTAAGTCCCTATCTAAAACTCAATAAATAAAAATAAAATATGTGCATGATGCTAAGATTTCTGAAACTCACTTTATTGCTCACCTTGGTTTTTATTTGTTTGCTAAGCCTTAGCCTAGATTTTTTCTGTACCTGTTTAGCCACAAACAAGGCAGACCCCAGCCTATCTGATCCTATCTGTAGTTGTTTACTGATTGCTTTTCACTGAAGTATCATCTCTTGGAGTCCAACCCACCACGCATGGGAATGCCTTGTTATTTACTCCAGCTGCAGAACTCTTATCTCCTAAGTGCTTTCTCAAGTCTGCCTAAAGGACAAACCATTCAGTGATGTAAATGGTAACAGCTTGTGCCAGAAGACTGCAGCAGAATTTAGCCACAATGATTTAACAAGGTCTAAACTACACTTCTTAAATAAATAAACCAAAACACAAACAGAAAAAGTCTACTCTAAAAACTATCAAGGAAGATTCTCTACTCCTGTTTTTTGTTTGTTTGTTTGTTTGTTTGTGTTGTTGTTTTGTGAGACAGGGTCTCACCGTATAGCCCAGATTGGCCATGAACTCACGGGAATCCTCCTGCTTCAGCCTCCTAAGTGCTGGGATGGATTATAGGAATGCACCTCTGTGCCCAGATTTCCCTAACCCCAAACTGCCTTAGAATCAAACTTAAACAATTTTGCCAGCCATGAATGACCCTGTAAGGGGTCACTGAACAAGCCCTTCTGTGACCTCTCTGACTGAAGGGGGCCAAATTATCTTAGCTCTTCAATACTCTAAACTTCTACAACATCTTATCTGATACTTGTCACCTTCAGTCAGAACATACTCTTGATGCGATGTCTTCTTTGATGCATCCAGTTCCCAGAGCCTCACTTAATTTATTTAAAAATTTACGAGCCAGGCATGGTATAATCCCAATCTATAATCCCAGCATTTAAGAGGCTGAGGCAGGAGGGATCTCTGTGAGTTCAAGGCTAGCCTGAGCTACCAGATAAGATCCTGTCTCAAAAAAAATCAAGGCCATGCATGGTGGGTGCAAGCCTGTAATCCCCGCACTCTACACAATGACATGAAATCTGCATCAAAGCAGATTCTCTTAGCATGGAAGAAGTAAATGGAAGGAAAGGGATAAATGGTGTACAATCAAAAAAAAATTTTTTAAATGCTCTCTGGGGAGAATTTGAAGGCACCTAAAAAGAGAAAAAATGTGTTAAACAAATTGAGACAGGAGGATTGCTGTGAGTTTAAGATCAGTCTGGTTTATATATTAAGTTCAGGACCAGCCTGAACTACACAGCAAGAATATGTCTAAAAATAAAACAAAAAAGTCAAACAAAAATAAAATATTGTACGGTCACAATAAAGAGAGTGCAAAGTAAGACCCCGGGAAGAGAGTGGGGCAATGGGACTATAAAAGGGAGTTTTGCCACAGTAAGACATATTAGAAGTGTGAGGCTGAAGTAGGCCCTAGGGAAAGGGGGAAGGTCTTCCAAACAGGTCGCCTTCTAAGAAAAATTAGAGCAGCCTAAGAGAGGAGGGCCGAGCGTGGCGAGGGCGCATAGATGCAGCAGCAGAGGGGAAAGGGACTGGAGTGGACACCCAGCCACCGGTGCCAGGGTCCGCAGCATGGACTTTATACAACCCCTGCCTGCCTATCTGTGAGTACAGAGTCTCTGAAGGAACCTTAGGAAGGAGGCTCCGAGAGCACATTCGCTAATCCGCACTGCTACTTATCAGCACACAGGCCAAAGAATTACTCCGGTTGAGACTATGGCATTGGTAACTGTGGTAACAACAGTCGTTTCTGGCTAGAGGGAGCTTTATTTGTTAGTTGTTAGCTTTAGACCCTAATTATATGACTTTTGAAAAATGCTCGTGTTTCTCTACCAGGCAAGGATGAAAGAAATTGTTTTTGATACTATAAGGCATAAGCCTCAGCCACAAAAATTCAACTAGAAAAGTTTGGTTTAACTATGTTTAAATCTTTCACCAATTCAAAAATTTTTGTCATTATTAGTAGGATATCAATCTCTAAAATTATAATCAAGTAATTAAAATGAGAGTGACTTGGATAGAAGAGGCTAATTTTTCTACCTATTTCTACCCCCATGCATTGACAACAGCATTAATGGATATCCACACCGATGTGCTGGTGTGGACATACATACAAATACTGTTTTCATCACTGCCACCTTTTGCTGTGAAATAAATTCACTTGAGATTCTCCACAATTCTTAAAAGTTCAGATCTAAGACGAACATCTCTAGGATATGTGTGGTGAGAAACACAATTCATCAAAGCTATAAACTCACTATGATGCGAAGTCTAAGTCTGGTGTTGTCATCCACTCACTGTCACCAGTGTTTATACAACATTTTGCTGTTAGCAATGGTGAGTCCGTGGGATGAGACCCCCCATCACTCACTAACACTGGAAGAGCTGACATAGCACAATAACCCTAATAAACAAATAGAAATGGGGATGTTACCTCTGGCTTCCACATCTCCCCAGAGTGTTGAACAGGCTCCTTCCAGTGGATTTTGTTTTGTTTGCTTTTGAAAGTCTGGGGATTGAACCCAGAACTAAGTTACATCCCTCATCTTTTTTTATTTTATATTTTGAGGCAGCGTCTCACTAACTGGCTAAATTGCGCAGGCTGGGTTCCAATTTGCAGTCCTCCTGCCTCAGCCTCCCAGAGTGCTGGGATTACAGTGTGCATCACTCTAGTGGTTTCTAGTATCACGAGATTCGGCTTTGTGTATAAGCCTCCATCTTTTCTGAACCACAAACGTACATCCACTCCAATGTTTCAACAACACATAAAACAGAATGTCAACATCACAGCACCACCTGTCAACTAAACATTTATTCTTATTTTAGTAGGACTGTTCTAATCTGCTGTGGCACTAACAATTTAGGAAGTGATTAACTTGCATACATGTTTACTAATTCAGGAAACATTATGCAATAGGATGTATGCTCTATCAGCAAACAGACATCTCCACCTGTGTTCAGGTTTTCTTCAAGTGAACAGGTTTTCAATAAAACTAGGCTGACATATATGGGTACAGATTCCTTTCTCAGGCTGTAAAGCCCAGGTGTTGGAGAGCACCCTTACCTGGACACTGGTTAGAGTGGTGTACTGGTACGCTTTGACAATCAGGTAATTAGCTTCCACATCGGCTAGTCCCAGCAGGATGTACTTCCACCACTTTCTTCTCAAGATGCCTAACAGGTTATCACTGCCTGGCTGAAACAAAGCTGGGTTAGTGCACGTGACTGGACGATGACGTCTGAAACAACAGAAGTAATTCAACCTCCCCAAATCATGAAGAAGGGAGAGACGATAGACAGATGGATGGATGGATAGATAGATAGAGGTACAGAGTTAGACACATATAGATATACGTGGCAGGAGGATTCCAAGTTTGAATGCAGCCTGAATTTAGCCACTTAGTGAGATCCTGTCTCAAAATGCAAAATAAAAAGGTCTGGAGACGGAGCTCCGTTTGAAGGCTCTGGGCTCAATACTCAGCACTGCAAAAACAGATAAATATATCATATATGTGATGTATTACATGATGTATTATATAAATAAATTTAGATTTTATATAAATATTTATATATAACTATATATGTGAATGAATACATGAATGAATGTATTCTACAAAATGAAATGTATTCCTATAAATTAACTGGGTTTTGGGGCTGGGGATTCAGCTCAGCGGCATAAGCGCCTGCCTTGCAAGCAGGCAGTCGTGAGTTCGATCCCCAGTACCAATAAAAAGGAAAAAGACCGAAAAAAAAAATTAACTGGGTTTTTTAACCTCCAGTTACGGGTTTCTTTTGTTTTGTTTGCTTTTGTGGTGCTGGGATTAAACCCAGGCCTTCAAACTGAGCTATATTCCTTACCCGTTTAGTCTGTATTTTGAGGCAGGGTCTCACTCAGTGGCTAAGTTGGAAGACATGTGCTTGAAAAGTGATAATTAAGCTAGTGATAAACTCAGGAAAGAGCTTAGGCACTATGACAGAAACATCTCTTATTCCTCCAAATTCAGGCTGTTCAAATTACCTATGATTCACTAGCACCACAGATTCAATAGCACACTTATTTTAAGATATGCACATATATAGCATGTATGTGAGATTTTATGATAACATAAAACGAAAGAACAGTACTAAAAATCAGAACCACATAACTATTGTTAAAATCCAATTAGCAGGAACATTCTGAAAACACCAAGTAAGTCTTTCTCAAATAGGATGGTGTGGAGGGGAGGGGAGGAGAGAGAGAGGAGAGGAAAAGGGGAGGGGAGAGAGGAGAGGGGAGGGGAGGGGAGAGGAGGGGAGGGGAGGGGAGGAGGGGAGGGAAGGGGAGGGGAGGGGAGGAAAAAAGAAAGAAACAACAGCTGGCACAAAAATGTTAGACTGTACTTTTCCCATAGCTAACTAGAAGCATATAATACTCTGATTATAACAAGTTGGCTAAACAGCTTGGGTAGCCAGTGATAAAGATGTTAATTCAGTTCTTTGCCCTCCTTGCTCTCATAACCTACACTCTGGGGTGAGGGCCGTAGCTCAGTGGTACAGCACTTGCCTCACATGTACAAAACCCTGGGTTCAATCTCCAGCACTGTTAAAAACAAACAAACAAATCTAGATTTGATCTACACGTACCCATATTCCACTCAGCATTCTCCAAGTAGCTGAAAATACTATTTTGGAGTATGACCTTCTCATCCTTTCAAGAATTTTTTATATTGTCTCTTAATTTTATCAACCAGAAGGAAGAAAAAAATAACATTTACACCTTTTTTGCCATCACTCTGTTATGAACAGTTCATGGCACTTACTTTATTTTAATCAACACTTCAGAGAGCTTTGCATAAACCTCTACTCACAACGTTCACAGAATTTAGAGGTATCATACTTTTCTAAATAACTTACGTAAATATAGCTGGTCTTAGTTTTGCCTTGTATTTTATTTTTAAACATCTAAATATCAAGCATTTTGGCAGATAACTTCATTGAAAGGTAATGTGCACATGCGACATACCTGACCGAAAAGCCAGCATCGTTGTATAAATGAGGAACAACATGCAATAGTTGAGAAAGCTCTGAAACATGGGACAGTTCACTCTGTACTTTTCTGCCAAATATTGGCTGGTGATGGCCGTTCCACAAATACACAAGGACAGCATCTGTCCCAGAACAACTGTTTTCAAGATATACCTAGAAAATAAAGAAACGGGAATAACTTGCAAGCAAATTACACCTGTAACACACACACACGCACACACACACAGAAATGCTCATTATACCAAATGGTTATTTATTTCATTTTACTGCTTACTCCATTGTGCACATATTAAATTATTTAGAGACTATATTTGTATTGTCTTTTACATATGCAACCTCTATTTTCAGTAAACATTTAACGTTTTCTTCTCTCATTGTCCCAATAATTTGTTCCACTGCCTTTCTAGAAGAGTGATTTTCAAGGCTGTCCGTATATCACAATCATGGAGCTCAGAAACAGACTGTGGTCTGGACTCTTCAGATGAGACTCCAGCCTTGGCCAACACCATGGCTTGGCCTTGTGAGAAGCCCTCAAGCAGGGAGTAAGCCACGACATGCTAGGATAAAAACCGTACAACAGTAAGCGCATCTGTTGTTTTTGACCACTAAGTTTGTGCTGATTTGTTACACACGAATAGATAACTGGCACTTTATAGTCACTCAGTAAACATGTGTCGAGTTAATGAAAATAAAGAAATCACTGTATATTCTCAAATATGTGATAAATCGCCACTTTTCCAGTCAGGTAGAATAGTCAGAAAAAAATAAACTCAGAATTCCATGACACAGAAGCTAAAACTACAAACCACTTTAACAAGAAAAAGTTTGTTGTTACTGAAGGATCACAAACTCCTAGATCACAAGCAGCAAGAAATGACATCATGGTGGGAGAAGCAGTGTGAGTGGCCAGCTGGAAGTCAGTGACCTCTGGAGGAAGGTTCTCGCCAGCAGGAGTGCACCAAGCTGGATTCCCTCGGGCTGAGTGAGCAGAGGAGCCGGAATACAGCACACGACTCTTGTTTTGAAAATGATGAGAGCGAGAAGGGGGTCAGGAGAGAGTCTGAAGAGCAAGGAGCAGCTTGGAGCACAAGGTTTTTGTTTTGTTAAAGGATTAAGGGACCACACATGCTTGGAAGATAAGTGTAAGTCGGCAGGAGTAAAAGCCTGAAGATTTTTAAGGAAGGTTCTTTCTAATTATGCAAGGAAAAGGAAGAACTTTTAGGGACGATGAGGGCAGTTCTTAGAAGAACCTGGAATCACAACTGAGAATGCTAAAATATGTTCATGAAGGTTCGCTCTACGAATATTTCCTTGAGAGCCGGGCGCAGCGATACCTGCCTGCAACACCAGCGCTTGGAACTGAGGCGCAAGGACTGCTTGGAGGCCAGCCGGGACACACACAAAGTCCAAGGCCAGCCTGTGCTACGACAGGAGGCCCTGTCTCAAAATAAATACATTATTCTGTCTCAAAACCAAAACAGAAAAATTAAAAAAATTTATAAAAGGAGTAAAGATTGGAAATATAGGTCAATACAAAGATCCTGGGTTTAACGTTCAATTAAATATTTTTAAATGTGAATTTATTATTGGATGAATCCCAGAGTTCATCTAATTTGCTGGTTCTCCACCCCTGTTGCCCACTAGAACATGAGAACTGTTTTACAAATACTGATCGCTGTGGGCATGGCCTGGTGACATGAGTACCTGCCCAGCGTTCAGTCCCCAGCAGCAGCAGCCAAAGTACCTGCCTGGCAAGTGCAAGGGTGTGAGTTCAACTCCAGGTACAAAGTAAATAAATAAATAAAAGCCAGTCAATACCCAACAGCAAAAACCAAACAATTTTTTTTACAAAAAACCAGAATGATATAAAATAAAATAATGTAAATCTTAAAAGTATAAAATACTGATTCCCAAGGCCCAGATCAGACCAATCAATCTAGGCTGGGATCTGGAAATTGGTATGCTTGCGGATGGGGACAGAGGGTCCTTGACAGGGCCCTTGTCCAGCATATGTAAGCCCTGGGTTTGGTCTCATACCACAAAGCGGGAGGGGCAGACATTGGGATGCTTTTAGCTTCCCTGGCAATTGTCCCCAGGCAGCCAGGCTGAAACCACTGACACAACTCAAGATTTTCATGTGATAGAATCCAAAGGGACATTCAGACACAAGACAAGGTGCCTAAAGTGATCCAGCTTGATTTCCAAACTTCTTCTAAATTACGGTGTGTAAGTATTTTCTCTTAGGTGTTTCCTAGTATTTCATTTCAAAATTTTATAGTCACATTTTCTCATTTTTTAAAATTATTAATTCATTAAACATGGATTTTGGTTTAGTTTGATTCAGTGCTTTGTTTTTTTTTTTTTTGTTTTTTTTTTTTAATTTTTTTTTTTAATTTTATTTAAGGAGAAAAGAAAAAAAAAACAGGGAAAGGGTACAAGTTATACAGATTTACAGAAAAAAAAATGAACAGTAGGAAATTACTAGTTAATGGATTACATATTGTCATCTTAGAAATAATTGTTCAAGTCACAAAATTAAAGCTTGTAAAGTGGACATTCCATCAATGATACTGCAAACAGTTCTGTTCATTGATCCAATAAAACTCTGTGATATCATTTTCTATCTTATACACTTAAATATACATGCAGTTATATAGTTTGGAGCACTTTCTTTTCCTCTCTTTTGTACCATGACTATTACACATTTTGGGTTTCATTGCTCCCACGGTTCTTATTACTTTTTTGGAAGAGAGTAAAACCAAATGTGACATAACAGAACAGAATCGGTCAAGTCAAAAGGGTGGACATAATAGATAATGTAAAAACATAATACAAGGTGATCAACAATGGTTACCATAATGCCTCCCGCTATCTCTAATAGAATTGCCTATATCATTAGTTATAATACAATTGAACAAAACAGTAAAGAATAAAACCGACAAAACCAAAACATTGGAGACATTGTAGGTCTTCAAAAGTAGATAAAAGTCAACAAGAATGGGCGTCATAATGAATCTCATTATCTTCACAGCTGATGCCTAAACTTTCGAACCTGATACTATCCAGCAAAACAGAATAGGGGAACATCAGTTAAAAACCAGATGGTGAGAGTAATACAGGGCTTTAAATCAAGGTAATGAAAAGTCAAAGTGGGTTACTATAATATATCCTGCTATTTTTTTTCCTTTAATTAAAAGGATAAAGATAAAAAAGTAAATAATGGAGTGGAGATTGAGATAAAAGAGGGCATAACAACGAAACAGCGTAGATCAAAACATAACCATTTAAGCAGAATAGTGTTTCACCACCAGATAATCCTAACCTAAAAGTAGTTACCATATTGTTTCTTTCTTTGAAATCCTTGAGTACAACTTCGTATACTGTAGCATTAAGTATATCAAAACAATGTAAAACCATTCAAGAGAATGACAGCATTACAGAGTATTTAAAATCGACTAACAAAATGAACAATGGTTTCTGTATAATCTCCTTGTCTTTAAAAGGTTTTTGCTTATACTATCGTACATAATAAAATCCAATAAGATACAGCCTGTTTAGACCATTGGAGACAGAAGGACAAAAGCTAGATGAGACTCCAAAACAAGATGATACTAAATCTGTATTACCTATTAAGATGTCATTTTCTCCAAAATAGCTGTTCCTATCATCCAATCTTCTCTGCCTCATTTCTGTTAAGCTCTTTTTCTGTCCGTAGCTGTCAGTTTGTCTTCTTCATTTTGTTCTCTGCTCCATTCGTTGTGGCCTCTCTGCTATTATTTCTGGATTCTTTGTATTTTTCTTTTTTTAGAATATCCTGCAATACTCTCTGTAGAGTTGAATTGGTGGTTGCAAATTCCCCCAGTTCCTCTTTATCCTGGAAGCACCTTGTTTTTCCATCAATTTCCAGGGACAGTTGTGCAGGATATCTCAATCTTGGCTGGAGATTATTATCTTTCAATGCTTGAATTATTTCCCCCCACGCTCTTCGTGATTTGATGGTTTGTGCAGAGAAATCTGCTGTAATTCTGATGGGTGTTCCCTTGTAAGTGGTCTGTTTCTTGTCTCTTACAGCTTTTAATATTCTGTTCTTGTATTGAATTTCTGGAATTTTTATTATTATATGCCTGGGTGTTGCTCTGTTTGGGTTGTAGGTAGCTGGGGTCCTGTATACCTCATACATCTGAGTATCTTTACCTTTTGCTAAATTAGGAAAATTCTCCTGGATTATTTCTGTGAGTAGCTTTTGTAGTTCACTTGTTTGTGTCCCTACTTCTTCTTCTATGTTCTTAATCCTTAAGTTATGGATCCTCTTATCATCTTCTTGTCTTTGTATTATTGCTGTTTGTTTCTTTGTTATTTTTAAGAAGTTTTTCATTTCATTCTCCCATATTACAAGTCTGCCCTCCAGTTCAGATAGTCTGTCCTTAGTTTCTTTCAAGCTGTTATGCCAGTCTTCTATAGACTTCTTAGTATCTTGGTAGTCCCTTTGAACCTGCTTCACGTATTCTATGCTTTCTCTGTTTTCTCCATCAAACAATTCTCCCCTTTTTTTCTGTTCTTCCATTCCACCACCTGTTTTTTCTTGGGTGGTACTTAGCATTTCTCTAACTATTCTGCATACTTCTAGCTTCAGGTCATTGATAACTTCATTCCTGAATTGGTCTATGAGGCTCTCTATATGGTGCCTTATGTGTATTGGTGTGGTGTCTGCTATTGCCTGTTTCTCAGAATTGGGGGCTGAGGAGCCTTTCTTGTTGCTGCCTCTTCCCATGCTGCCTCTTCTTCTCTGTTCCTTATATGTGCAAGCTTATATAAGAGGCCCAGCTTCTCTCCCAGTCAGCCACAGCCTGATCGAATTGCGCCAGTTAGGTGTTCCCGCTCACCGCTGCACACCAGGGAGTTACGGACCAGGCAGCCTATGCGTCTCCCCTCCCGACCACCGTCAGGCTCTGGGATCTGGGTTGGGACAGTCTACCAGGTCCGCCGGCAGCGTCACGCAGGCCAGGCACTTTTCACCAATCCCGCCCGAGAGGGGGATGTGTGACTGGAGTCACCACCCTGCCCTGCTCCCGCAGGACTGCTCGGGCCCAGAAAGTCCTCTGCTGGAGTCAAACTGTGGTAGAGTGTCAGTTTCTCTCACTCACCTTACCACA